GAAAAGGGTTAAATCTTTTACTCTTTCTGGTGTTGCTACACAGAAAATATAGAAGGTTAGTGCAGTGGCTCATCACTTTGGGAGGCATGGGCAGGAGGATCCCTGGAGCCCAGGAGCTCAAGGTCAGCCTGGCCAACATAGTGAGATCCCTTCTCTATAAGAGCATTTTAAAAATTAGCTAGGTGTGGTGGCACATACCTGCAGTCCCAGATATACAGGAGGTTGAAGTGGGAGGATTGCTTGAGCCTGGGAGTTGCAGTGAACTATGATCATGCCACACTGCACTCCAGCCTTGTACACGTATATATATGTGTATGTATGTGTGTGTGCATGTATGTATATTTTATCCATGTAGGTATATGTATACGTATATGTATTGTCTTAAGGATTCCCCAGAGGTTTGGGGTCTAGTAATTTCAGACAGGGTTGGACTCCTTTGCACCTAGCTCTTGCTGTTTCTAATTTGGCACCGTGCCCCTGGAGGCTTACTCCTCTTCTTCTGTTAGTTGTCAGGGGCCACTCCTGGGAACTAAAAGAACTGGAAAAAAGAATGGAAGGATACTGGACCCTCCCATTGGCCTATTCCCTTTGGCCATGTGCCTGAGGTGAGTGACATCAGAGGAAACATTAGGTCCTAATGATAATGTGGGAATTGGTACCATTTTTAGGAGGCACCAGATGTCTTCTTCCCCTAATTTGTGGACTAATGTTACCCCTAAACCCAAGATAAAGCCAAATTTCTGGAGTTTGGTTAGATTTGGAAAGTTACTGCTCAGATGATGAACACGTTTTATTTGTGTTTTCCACTGGAATTAGAAAAGTGAAAAATAAACCAGGTGCAGTGGCTCATGCCTCTAATCCCAGCACTTTGGGAGGCTGAGGTGGGAGGATTGCTTGAGACCAGAAGTTTAAGACCAATCTGGGAAACATAGTGAAACCCCATCTCTACAAAAAGAAAAAAAAAAAAAACTTCTTTTGAACCCAGGAATTAAACATTGTGGTGAGCCATGATCTGGCCACTGTACTCTAGCCAGGGAGACAGAGCAAAACCTGGACTGGACTCTAAAAAAGAAAAAAAAAAAAAGGTTGTTCTGATTTTGTCTGATTTGTACATCTGTCCAGTTTCCCTGGACTCCCACCCAGTATATTCTCCTTTTCAGATGAAGTCTTGCTCTGTCACCCAGTTTGGAGTGGTGCAGTGGTACAATCATGGCTCACTGCAGCCTTGACTTACCCAGGCTCAGGTGATCCTCCCACCTCAGCCTCCCCAGTAACTGGGACTACAGGTGCACACCACCACTCCTGGGTAATTTTGTATTTTTTGTAGAGACAGGGCTTTTGCCATGTTGCCCAGGATGGTCTCAAACTTCTGGGCTCAAGCCATCTTCCCACCTTGGCTTCCCAACCAATATGTTCTTTTAATAAGAAAAATGGTTTAGGGGCCCCAGAGATCACCAGCCTTTCTACCTTGCCCTTTCTCCCCTCAAGAAAATACAGAGGACCATTTCCTCAATTAATATATAGGTTTAGGGTAAAACCTTAGGATGAAAAAGATATGTCAGTGACTCACGCCTGTAATCCCAACACTCTAGAAGTTCAAGGCAGGCAGATCATTTGAGATGAGGAGTTTGAGACCAGCCTGACCAACATGGTGAAACCCTATCTCTACTAAAAATACAAAAAAAATTAGCCAGATGTGGTGGCACACGCCTGTAGTCTCAGCTACTTGAGAGGCTGAGGCAGGAGAATCACTTGAACCTGGGAAGTGGAAGTTGCAGTGAGCCGAGATCACACCATTGCACAACAGAGCAAGACTATGTCTCAAAAAAAAAAACAACAACCCACAAACAAACAAAAATTAGCCAGGCATAGTGGTGCCCACCTGTAATCACAGCTACTAGGGAGACAGACATGAGAATTGGTTGAACACGGGAAGTAGAGATTGCAGTGAGCTGTGATTGTGCCACTGCACTCCAGCCTGGGCAACAGAGTGAGATTGTGTCTCAAAAAAAAAAAAAGAAAAGAAAAAGATACGGGTTCAGTTTGTCAGTATGGGTCAAAGGTGAGGAGTACAAAGTCTGGGCTGGGAAGGATGAATAAATGTTTGCAAATGTTATGTCCTTCACTGTTCTGGAAGCCATCAACTTTCTGGTTTCCTCATGATTCTGGAAAAAGGCAGGATTAAAAACAGCAACAGGCCAGGCGTAGTGGCTCATACCTGTAATCCAAGCACTTTGGAGGCCAAGGCGGGCGGATCACCTGAGGTTGGGAGTTCAAGACCAGCCTGACCAACATGGTGAAACCCCATCTTTATAAAAAATAAATACATAAATAAATAAATAAAAACAGCAACAACAAAACCAAAATTAAAAAAAAAAACCAGCAACAACAACAATAACAATAATAGTAATTCAGGTCATGAAGATACCAAAGCAAATGAGATGTTTGGACTGTCTTTTTCCTCTGGTTTGTTTCTCCTCAAGATGGGAGGATCACCTACATCCTTTAAGAGCAAAGATGAAGGCTGGGCGCAGTGGCTCACGCCTGTAATCCCAGACCACTTTGGGAGGTCAAGGCGGGCGGATCACGAGGTCAAGAGATCAAGACCATCCTGGTCAACATGGTGAAACCCCGTCTCTACAAAAAAAAATTAGCTGGGCGTGGTGGCACCTGCCTGTAGTCCCAGCTACTTGGGAGGCTGAGGCAGGAGAATTGCTTGAACCCGGGAGACGGAGGTTGCAGCGAGCCGAGGTCGCGCCACTGCACTCCAACCTGGTGCCTGGTGATGGAGTGAGACTCTGTCTCAAAAAAAAAGAGTGAAGATGATGGGGAGGTCAGAGAGGAATAACATGGGGAGAAATGCCAGATGTGGGTGACAGGGGGATGAAGGCAGCAAACCACATTGCCATGTGTGTATCTATGCAAGAATCCTGCACGATCTGCACCTGTACCCCAGAACCTAAAGTACAATTAAAAAAAAAAAGAGTGAAGATGAGGTGTGTTCAGGGGCAACTGATGTTTCCAAGGGCTAAGACACTTTCTAGCTCTGGCCAGTCTTGGTGTCTGTTTGTTCTGAGCCTTTCACCACTTCCCAACCTGAGCACTGCCTCCTTCCACCAGGGCTGCTCTGCTGTCTCCCCACAGTCCAGGTTGTGCTGCTCCTTTGCTGTGTCCTGCTGTCCCTGGTGGCTGCCTTTCCAAAAATGCCCAGAATGAGACCCCGACCTTCCAGTCGTCTTTCACAGAGACTAGGCATCCATCAAACATGTTCTCCATATTTGGAGAAACTGGAAAGCCAGATTCCTTTCCCAGATCCCAGGACTGGCCAGGATCTTTTACACACAGCCCCCTCCTCAGCCCCTCTGCCTGAGTACCTGTCCAACTTGGCTCTGAGGATGGCCCTGAAGGAGGTTGGCTGCCTGACTGAGGCCCATGTTCTGTCACTTCAGATGGGAGGAAAGGATACTACCGAAACCCTCATCCGTGAGAGTCGAAAAGTTCAACAATAAGAAGGGCAATACCAACATCATTGTGAAGAATCTAGTTGTCCCTCAGGGAGGTGTGAATAACTCAGCACCCAGCTGCCCATTCTGGAAAATGTATGGATGGTGGCAAATAAACCCACTGGGGTGGCTGGCCTACCAGTTAGCTCAGATGGTGAGTGAGTTTGCTGAGAAATCATCTCCCACGATGCTTAGTGTCACAGTTCAAAGATTTTGGTATTGATATCACCAAGAACTGCAGGTATGAGTCTTGGGAGCATGTTGAAGAATTAGGCAAAAAGTTGAAGAAGCTCCCAAGTTAATCTCATTTAAATGTCTAGGGACAGTGACAATATACTCTATCAAATGTTTCGCAGATATTCTGAAGTGCTTTGTGAGGAAAACAATCCAGAAATTAATCCTGGCTCACTTCAGCTATTCAATGCCACATGGGTAATGAGACTCCTTTCCCAGGACTATGTTCTAGGATGGGACACAGTAAGTAGTTAGAAATGTTGGAGACCACTTAGGACAGATGAATGCTCTTTATTTCATCCCTTCGCTTAAAAACAAATGAGACCCATGTTAGCCTTACCCCTCTCCACTTAGTAGGTGTCAGCCTCTATTTCTTTCTTTTTTTTTTTTTTTTTTTTCTTTTTTGAGACGGCTGCTGCAAGCTCCACCTCCCAGATTCAAGCGATTCTCCTGCCTCAGCCTCCCAAGTAGCTGGGACTACACATGCCCACCACCACGCCCAGTTAATTTTTTTGTGTTTTTAGTAGAGACTGGATTCCACCATATTAGCCATGCTGGTCTCGAACTCCTGACCTTGCGACCCACCTGCCTTGGCCTCCCAAAGTGCTGGGATTACAGGCGTGAGTCACCGTGCCCAGCCACTAGTTTAACTTTTAAATTGAAAAGAGAAATGAGAGAACCATAAACATCTCATCTTTCCTAATTCTGAATTTCTCCGGCTCCTATCATGAGCTTAGAGTGGGAATGTGGCAGGGACATACAGGAGATGCCAGAGATCAGGACTGTAAGTATTGAGGTTGAGTGTGTGACAAGGGCACAAGGTTTGAGCAGCCAGTGTAAATATTTTCAGAGATTACATCCTTCATTGATCACAAGGGAAAGCAAATATCTCCTTTCCTCATGGGTCAGAGAACTAGGCAGAATAGGACCAGGGAGCAACCAAACCTACCGAGGCAGTCTCACTTCTCAATGGCTGGACTGTGTGGTAATTTGGGGTCCCTATGAATGGGTGGAAATAAAACAGAAGTCGCTGGAGACCTGTAAATGGGGGAGACCAAGTGGGAGCAACTGGGTTGCATTTCCTATTTCCTAGACCTTTACCTATAAAGAACAGAAGCCTGGGGACAGGTGCAGTAGCTCACACCTGTAAGCCTATCACTTTGGGAGTAGAGGTGGGAGGATCACTTGAGCCCAAAGTTCAGGACCAGGCTGAGTAAGACGGCAAAACCACATCTCTACAAAAAATTTAAAAAATAGCTAGGTATGGTGGCATGCACCTGTAGTCTCACTACTTGGGAGGCTAAGGCGGGAGGATCCCTTGAGCCCAAGAGTTCAAGGCAGCAGTGATTTGTGATCCCACCACTGCACTCTATTCTGGGTGACAGAGCAAGACCCAGTCTCTAAAAAGAAAGTACAGAAGCTTGGAAGTAGGTGATGTATGAGGTGTCCCCCTAACTGAGTCTTGGGTTTACCATAGCCCTTAGGAAAATAGTTTGTATGTTTCTGATTTCTCCCCTTTCTAGGGTACTCTGCACCAGACATGCGTGGCCTCAGATTCATCTTGATACCAGTTGAACTGCTACTTTGCTACCTCCTGCTGCACCCTGTATATGCCACTTCATATGGAAAGCAGACGAATGTCTTGACGCACCTTCCCTTGTCTTTGGAATCCCAGACACCCTCCTCAGACCCCTTGTCCTGCCGATTACTGCACCCAAAGTCACTGCCTGGTTTCAGCCACATGGCCCCTCTACCCAAGTTCTTGGTAAGCCTGGCTCTAAGGAATGCCCTGGAGGAAGCTGGTTGCCAGGCTGATGTTTGGGCTCTACAGCTTCAGCTCTATCGCCAGGGTGGTGTGAATGCTACACAGGTCCTCATCCAGCATCTTCAAGGGCTCCAGAAAGGCAGAAGCACAGAGAGGAAAGTGTCAGTGGAAGCCCTGGCCTCTGCTCTGCAGCTGTTAGCCAGGGAGCAGCCAGGCACAGGAAGGGTCCGGCGCTACCTCCCCACAGAAGACTGTGAGAATGAGAAGGAGCAAGATGTGCACAATGTCGTCCAGCTGCTGCCAGGAGTGGGAACATTCTACAACCTGGGCACAGCCTTGTATTATGCTACTCAAAACTGCCTGGGCAAGGCCAAGGAACGAGGCCGAGATGGGGCCATAGATCTGGGATACGACCTTCTGATGACCATGGCTGGGATGTCAGGGGGGCCTATGGGTCTAGTGGTCAGTGCTGCACTTAAACCTGCATTAAAGGCTGGGGTTCAGCAGTTGATCCAGTATTATCAAGATCATAATGAGGCAAACATCTCTCAGCCAGAGACCACTAAGGAGGGTTTGAGGGGCATCTCAGATGTGAGTGACTTGGAAGGAACAACTACCCTGACTTCTTTCACCTCAAAAGTAGTAAGTTCAGCTCCCTACTGGGGACGGGCCATAATCAAGAGCTATGACTTAGATCCTGGGGCTGGGAGTTTTGGGATATAAAAGAAGGTGGTAACCAGAGAACTAATAAAACTAATATATTGACATGTCTTCAAAATCTTAATCTCTGATTTATCCAGGAGGAAGGCAGTATAGTGAAAGGTAGAAACGTAAATGTTTGGGGCTTGAAGTCAGAGGGTTTGGTTTTGAATCAAGGCTCCACTGATGGTGCCTGGTAATCACTGACTAGTAACTTCTTTCTTGAACTAAGATCAGTTTTTAAATTTCTAAATGAGAGAGAATAATTTTAACTTCAATGAGTTGCAGTGTAAATTTAAAATGATACGATGAATCAAAAGTGCTGGGCCGGGCGCGGTGGCTCAGCCTATAATCCCAGCACTTTGGGAGGCCGAGGCGGGTGGATCACGAGGTCAAGAGATCGAGACCATCCTGGTCAACAAGGTGAAACCCCGTCTCTACTAAAAATACAAAAATTAGCTGGGCATGGAGGTGCTCACCTGTAGTCCCAGCTACTCGGGAGACTGAGGCAGGAGAATTGCTTGAACCCAGGAGGTGGAGGTTGCGGTGAGCCGAGATCCTGCCATTGCACTCCAGCCTGGGTAACAAGAGCGAAAGTCCGTCTCAAAAAAAAAAAAAAGGGGGGGGCTTATCACAGTACTCTCAATAAATAGCTATTAGCCAGGTGCAGTGGCTCACGTCTGTAATTCCAGCACTGAGAGACCGAGGCGGGAGGATCATTTGAGCCCAGCAGTTCAGAACCAGCCTGGGCAACATGGCGAAACCACATCTCTACAATAAATATAAAAAATTTTCCTGGCGGAGTGATGCACGCTTGTAGTCCCAGCTACCTGGGATGCTGAGCCGGGAGAATCACCTGAGCCCGGAAGGTCGAGGCTGCAGTGAGCCAAGATCTTGCCACTGCACTCCAGCCCTGGTGACAGAGCGAGACCATATCTCAAAAAATAAAAGACTATTTTTAAAATATTGTTTTCATTACCTCAGCCCTCCTCTTCCTATCCCAAGACGTCGAAATTCCGGTCCCACCCCTTCCCATGGGGCCCTTGGCGTCTCCAGAGTCCTCAAGCTAGTTTCGGTTCCTTGGCCCACGCGCGGGTTCTCGAAAATCAGCTGTTTCAGTCTTGGGCTAGTCCACTAATTGGACTCCTCCCCTCGTAGGCAGCGCCTATTTGAGCTTCTCCACCAATCGCTGGAACTGGAGGTGTGGTTTCGGCTCAGCTTGTCCCGCCCCACGGATGGGGCGGAATTGCGGCGGCGCCAATGAGCTAGCAGTCTGGTAAGGACTTGACTGATGGCAGTGTCGGGGTGGTGGCTGGGAAAGGGGCAGCTCCGGACTTCAGGGCCACCTTACAAGGGGACGGATCCGAGGGGGTTGGCCGAACTTGTAGGCGGGGCGGGAGGCTCTAGTACCCGAGATCCCTCTAGGCACGGGAAGTCGCGACCAGAGCCACTGGAGGGCGCGGGGACTGCCACCCCTAATCAGGTACGGGCCCTGAGAGTGTGTGCTGGGGTAGGGGTGGGGGTGAGAGTGAGAATTCCTCCCAGGGAAGGGCGACTGGCCTCAGGGGTTACGTACGCCCTGGAGGGGGCAGCCTCTGTCCCCAGGTTGAAATAGGAGCTGTCGCCGGCTCGGTCTTTGAACTTCTCCTGCCGAGCTTATCTCCCCAACCCTAATGGCCCTCTCCCCAAAGTCCCCTGAAGCTTCCGAGACCCGGAATCTGGCCTTATGTTGATTCGGTAGCTGAACCAAAGTTTTTGCCTCTGCTCCGCATTATGTTTTGTCTTCACCAAAATAAACGATGTCCAAAGATAGATTAACCTGAAACACAAAAACAAAACAAAAAAACAGATAGATGAATCTATCATCTTTATTTGTTTCGTAAAAAAGTATAAGCTCCTGAAAGATAAAACGATTACCTAAGGTCACACACAAAATTCAGTTCATTTCAGAAAAGCTTCTTGAGTGTAAAATATGTGCCTGAGAGTGAGAGATAACGAGAAAAAACTGTCTCAGCCCTTAACCTCAGTGTTTGCAATCCATTTGGGGAGACTAGGTTTTTTGTTTTGTTTTGTTTTAATATTTGAATCTTTGCTTCCTTGTGCGTTTCATACTAAACACTTAAATCCTCAAGAATTGAGACCTCATCATTAAAAAAAAAATTTTTTTTAAGAGATGGAAGCTCACTATGTTGCCTAGGCTGATTTCAAACTCCTAAGCTCAAGCTATCCTCCTGTCTTGTAGGCCTCCCAGAGTGCTGGGATTACAGGCATGAGCCACCACGCATGGCCACCTAATCATTTTTTTAACTTATATTTTTTTGTATCATAACAGCAATACAGTTACATAGTTTTAAAAATCAAGCACTACTAAAAGGTTTAAAATGAAAATAGCCCCTGCACAATCCCTCCTTTCCCTTGTTTCTACTTCCAGAGGTAGAAAGGCAGCTGATGTTATTTATGTTAGAGTACTGTCCTACCCCAAGCATTTCTCTTTACTTTGTAATAAAATCACGTGACCTTTTTAGACCACAAACATGCATAAATTCTGTTCTGTTAGGCTCAGATTGCAACAAGTATAAGTTTCAGTTTCCTAAATAGACACCAGATGTCAACGAACAGGGAAAGATGGGGAGAAAGATGCATGGCACAGCCTGCTTGGTGACAGGCAAACCTGTCTTTGTGACAAGCAAGAAAAAAAAAAACATTTTTTTTTTTTTTTCTGAGACAAAGTCTTGCTCTGTTGCCCAGGCTGGAGTACCGTGCATGAACTCCACTAACTGCAACCTCTGTCTCCTGGGTTCAAGCAATTCTCCTGCCTCAGCCTCTTGAGTAGCTGGGATTAGGCGCCGACCACCAGGCCTTGCTAATTTTTTTGTATTTTTAGTAGAGATGGGGTTTCACCATGTTGGCATGTTGGCCAGACTGGTCTTGAACTTCCGACCTCAAGTGATCCTCCCACCTAGGCCTCTCAAAGTGCTGGGATTACAGGCGTGAGCCACGGCATCTGGCCTAAAAAAACAAATTTACATAAAGTATCAGGATCTCACAAAGTTGATAACCCATAATCATATTCAAGATTCATAGGTCATAAAAGTGTCATATTCTTTTTTTTTTTTGAGATGGAGTTTTGCTTTTGTTACCCAGGCTGGAGTGCAATGGTGCAATCTTGGCTCACCGCAACGTCCACCTCCTGGGTTCAAGCAATTCTCCTGCCTCAGCCTCCCAAGTAGCTGGGACTACAGGCGAACGCCACCACACCCAGCTAATTTTTGCATTTTTAGTAGAGACGGGGTTTCACCTTGTTGACCAGGATGGTCTCGATCCCTTGACCTCATGATCCACCCGCCTCAGCCTCCCAAAGTGCTGGGATTATAGACATGAGCCACCACGCCCAGCCTAAAAGTGTCATATTCTTAGGGATTGAGCAATCCATTGCACAGCATTTAGATGTTTTCTAGAATGGAACTCCTCCTTCCTGTATAGAAGGTGGTTTATAGGGTATACTTACCTGACCTCCAAAAAGATTTAGCTCCTAAAAAAGCTTCAAGTGGCTGCGTGTGGTAGCTCATACCTGTAATCCCAGCACGTTGGGAGGCCGAGGTAGGCAGATCACCTGAGGTCAGAAGTTCAAGACCAGCCTGGACAACATGGTGAAACCCCATCTCTACCAAAAATACAAAAGTTAGGGGGGCATGGTGGCAGCCGCCTGTAAGCCCAGCTACTTACTGTAAGCCACCTGTAAGCCCAGCAGAAGAATTGCTTGAACCCAGGAGGCGGAGTTTGCAGCGAGCCGAGATCATGACACTGCACTCCAGCCTGGGTGACAAAGCAAGACTCCGTCTCAGAAAAAAAACAAAAAAGCTTCAGGGCCAGCAGAGATCATGCTGTAAAAAATACTTAATATCAACACTGATCTTTAAATGCTTTAGCATAAGCAAATATAAACAACAAATAAACACATAAATGTAAAATAAATTAATTAGGCAGATAGATGAAATAAGATAGTGGAAATAGCAATGTTAAAGTTGAATGGTGATCCTTGTGGTATTCACTCTAGAGTGTGTTTGAAAATTAGGCCAGGTGTGGTGACTCACGCCTGTAATCCCAGCACTTTGGGTGGCCAAGGCGGGTAGATCATGAGGTCAGGAGTTCGAGACCAGCCTGCCCAATACGGTGAAACCCTGTCTCTACTAAAAATTTAAAAAAATTAGCTGGCCATGGTGGTGTGCGCCTGTAGTCCCAGCTACTTAGGAGGCTGAGGCAGAAGAATCGCTTGAACCCAAGAGGTGGAGGTTGCAGTGAGCTGAGATTGTGCCAATAAACTCCAGCCTGGGTGACAGAGCAAGACTCTGTCTCACCAAAAAAAAAAAAAAAAAAAAAAGAAAAAGAAAAAGAAAATTACCATTAGGCTGGTTATAGTGGCTCATGTCTGTAATCGCAGCATTTTGTTTTTTGTTTTTGTTTTTTTGAGACAGAGTCTCGCTCTGTCACTCAGGCTGGAGTGCAGTGGTGCTATCTTGGCTCACTGCAACCTCCGCCTCCCGGGTTCAAGTGATTCTCCTGCTTCAGCCTCCCAAGTGGCTGGGACTACAGCCACGTACCACCATGCCCAGCTAATTTTTTTGTATTTTTAGTAGAGACAGGGTTTCACTGTGTTAGCCAGGATGGTCTTGATCTCCAGACCTCCTGATCTGACCACCTCGGCCTCCCAGAGTTCTGGGATTACAGGCGTGAACCACCATGCCAGCCCATCCCAGCATTTTGGAAGGCTGAGGTGGATGGATTGCTTGAGCTCAGGAGTTTGAGATCTGCCTGGGCAACATGGCAAAATCTCATCTCTCCAAAAAATAAAAAAATTAGCTAGGCATGATGGCATACTCCTGTAGTCCCAGCTCCTTGAGGGGCTGAGACAGAGAATCACTTGAACCTGGGAGGTCAAAGCTGCAGTGAGTCAAGATCATGCCACTACATTCCAGCCTGAATGACAAAGTGAGAACCTGTCTCAAAAAAAAAAAAAAAGAAAG